CTCCCCTCTTTGAGGGGTGCTCACCCTCCCCTCTTACCCCCTCCTACGCCTCCGCTGCTGCTACTGTCGACCTCCTTGGTGCTGAGAAGGTCGAAGCTACTTCCGCTCCTAGTGGGAAGCACAGCGGCTCCAGGGGAGGCAGGGGTGGCAGGGGTGGCGGACGTGGCGGTGGAGGGGGCGGTGGTGGAGGCGGCGGGGGAGGTGGAGGTGGTGGGGTTGGTCGTGGGGGTGGAGGTGGTGGTGGGGGCGGTGGTGGTGCCGGGAGCAATGGCGGTGGTGGCGGAGGGGGGAGTGGTGGTGGCGGCGGTGGTGGGGGCTTCGGTCAGATCGGTGGTGGCCAGGGGCAGTAGTAGCAGCAGCAGCAGCAGCAGCCGCAGCGTCAGCGCCAGACCCCCACTTCCTAGCAGCTTCATGACTGGTATGCCGGGTGTGGGGCGTCTGGGGTTCCTGGTCGCTGCCCCTAAATCATTCACGCAGGTCCCCGCACTGGTCCCAAGTTCAAAGGCTTTCACTCTGAGTACCGCTGCTTTGCTCGGTTAGCGATGCCTGCCGCGTCAAGTTTCCTGATTCTATTGAGTTGCCCAACTCGGCGGACCTGCTTAGGCATGATGTACCTATCTTTGATCTTGACTATGATGCTATTCTTGCTGCCATGCATGTATTGACTCTTAATGCTGAGGGTGACTGCTACTTGTGTGTGCCGCCTCACCCCGGTATAGCCCAAGGTATAGCGCTTGCAGCTCTAGGTGCTAGTGAGTATGCTCTCCTTGGTACTGCGTCCGCACAGTCCTTGCACACCTTTACACTTGACTCTGGTGCTTCTCGCTGTTTCTTTCACGACAGCGTCATAGTCACTCCCCTCCCTGCCGTCCTTGTCTCACTGGCTGACTCCTCTGGGGGTCCAGTGCTTGCACGGTCTACCACTGTGCTTCCGTGTCCGGCGGTCCCGTCTAGTGAGTTGTCTGGTCTCCACCTTCCCTCGTTCTCTACAAACTTGGTGAGCAACTCCGTCTTTCAGGATCACTGGGTTGACACCTTTACTCCTGGAGGACAGCGTGTGGCGATCTGCACGTGCTCCCGGACCGGCCGTCACCTGGCCACGTGCACACGTGCGCCTGGGTCCAGTCTGTACACCCTCACCACTTCGTCGCGCTCCACCCCTTTGTCTCATCAGCTGTACGCGTCCGCTCAGTTAGCTACCCAGTGTGACTGTCGTAGCCTGTCGCACCAGACTCTCTTGTGGCACCACCGCCTTGGTCACCCCTCCCTGGGCATGTGGAGGTCACTAGTGACTCACGTCCTGCTGGGGGTGGTCCTGCTCGGGGTGCTGTCTCTGGGGATGCTGAGCTTGGGGGTGCGGAGCCTGAGCGTGAGGAGCCTGGGGGTGCTGAGCCTAGGGGTGCGGAGCCTGTGCGTGAAGACCTTGGGGGTGCTGAGCCTGGGGGTACGGAGTCTGGGGGTGCTGAGCCTGAGCGTGAGGAGCCTGGAGGTGCTGAGCCTGAGCGTGCGGAGGCTGGAGGTACTATGCCTGGGGGTGCTGCGTCTGGGGGTGCTGAGCTTGAGCGTGAGGAGCCTGGGGGTGCTGAGTCTAGGTGTGTGGCGCCTGAGGGTACTGAGACTGCTGGTGCGCGGTCTCCTTGGAGAGGCCGCCTTCATCCGCGAGCGCCCCTCTCCCCTCCGCAGCTGCACGAGTGGTACGCTAGCCATCAGGATCGCGCTGCAGGAGCTCGGGGCTCTTCAGCTAGGAGTGGTGCTGGTACTTTGTCTACAGGAGGTGCTAGAGTCGCTGGTTCTGGCGGTGCTCGTACTCGAGGTACTGGCATAATTGGGGCTGGCGGTGCTGAGACTGGGGTGCCGCTGCTGGAGACCCTAGGGCTGGAGGTGCCGGTTCTGGGGGTACTGCTGCTGGTGATGATGGTATGAGAGGTGCTGGCGCTGTAGGTTCTAGAGCTGCTGGTGACACTGGTGTTGAAGGTGCTGGCGCTGGAGGTTCTGGAGCTGCTGGAGGTGCTGGAGCTGGTGGTGGTGCTGGAGCTGATGGTGCTCGTGGCGCTGCGCCGCCACGACTGTTCTTTTCTCCACCGTCTCCGTCGTCTCTGCTACCGCTTGACTCCTTGCTTCGCCAGGTTCTTAGCCTCCCGTCGTCTACTGCTCCTTCTCCTTACATTGAGCAGCCAGGAGGTCTTGCTGAGCGTCGTGAGCCTGCGTCGCGTCCTGTCTCGCCTGTCCGCACTGGTCGTCGTGTTCCTCGTCCGCCTCCGCTGGCTGTCTCCGGCACACACCTCATGGCTTTCCGTCTGTGCTCTGCTCCGCAGCGTGTTCCTCTGCCGTCTCCTCCTGCGTCTTCTCTGCCTGTCGTTGCTGACCCTGAGTCTGACCGGTTTTGTGTTGAGCACCCTACTGTCACACGTTTGCTAGACACTATTCTCACTGACCCGTCGTTTGAGTCTGATGCTACGTCTGCCTTCGTTGCTAAGCTTACTGACTTTGCTGTTGCCTGTCGTCTAGACTTCACCGCTAGTCTTGTTGCTGAGTCTGAGTCTGACCGTCCTCCTTCCGTTAGAGGTGAGTGTGCTCTTGGCACGGACGTCCTTGAAATAAGGCAAGAGGACGTTGAGTGTCTTGCAGCCGCTGGGCCTCATCTCGTGGCCATGCTGCTTGCCCCTGAGGCAAACCCGGATGCTCCAGACATCCCAACCCCGCGCTCTTACGCTGAGGCGATCGCGGGTGAGTACTCCTTTCAGTGGCAGACAGCCATGGATGCAGAGATGGCATCCTGGAAGTCCAGAGGCACTTACGTTCACGAGGTTCCGCTTCCTAGGGCGAACATCGTCGATCGCATGTGAATTTTCAGGGTGAAGCGGCCGCCACGTTCTCCGCCTGTCTATAAGGCTCGTTTCGTTGCTCGAGGTTTCAGTCAGCGAGAGGGAGTTGACTTCTTCCAGACCTTGTCCCCCACCCCGAAGATGACCACTCTTCGGGTGCTGCTACACGTTGCCGCTCAGCATGACTACGAGCTTCACTCTCTTGACTTTAGCACAGTTTTCTTACAGGGCAGCCTGCATGAGGAAATCTGGCTGCGCCGCCCGCCTGGCTTTGCCGGGTCGTTCCCTCCTGGTACCCAGTGGAGCCTCTGGCGGCCGGTCTACGGTCTCTGCCAGGCGCCACATGAGTGGCACAACACACTGAGGATGACACTTGCGGCTCTTGGGTTTGCTCCGCTGACTGCTGACCCATCGTTGTTTCTGCGCACCGACACTTTGCCGTCGTTCTACATCCTCGTGTACGTCGACGACTTGGTCTTTGCCATTACTGACACTGAGGCTCTTGCCCTGGTGAAGTCAGAGCTTCAGAAGAGACACACGTGCACAGACCTGGATGAGCTGCGCAGCTACCTTGGCTTGCAGATGACCCAGGACAGAGCACGTCGCACCATCACACTGACTTAGTCATACATGGTGCAGCAGGTCCTTCAGCGCTTCGGCTTCACCTGGTCCTCGGCATAGGCCACTCCTCTGGCTACAAGTCACTCGCTCTCAGCTCCACCTTTGGACGAGTCCGTAGAGCCGAGTGGTCCTTACCCAGAGCTAATGGGCTGCCTCATGTACCCGATGATCTACACTCGTCCTGACCTTGCGTACCCTCTTGGCTTTCTGGCTCGCTACGTGGCTCCTGGTCGGCACCAAAAGGTGCACATGGATGCTGCTAAGAGATTACTACACTACTTGTGTAGCATATCGCGCATAGGGCTCTTGCTTGGAGGATGAAGCGACGTTGTCCTCACTGGACACTCAGACGCTTCTTGGGTTGACGACCAGGCTACACAGCGGTTGTCACAAGGTTACACCTTCAGCCTTGGCTCTGGTTCAGTTTCTTGGCCTTCTACACGCTCGTCTTCAGTTCTTAGCTCCATTTGTGAGGCTGGGATATACGCCACAGCCATGGATGTATAGGAGTTACGCTGGATCCCCTACCTGCTGACCGACTTGGGAGAGCGGTCTCGTTCTCCTCCAGTGCTGTACGTAGACAACAAGGCCGACTTTGCCTTGTGTCAAGAGCAGAGACTGGAGCACAGAACGATGCACATCGCTCTGCATTAGTTCCTGGCTTGAGAGTTGCAGGAGCATGGTCAGCTTCGTCTTGCTCACGTGGCCACTCGGGCCAACACTGCTGATATATTCACCAAGGCACTTCCGAATGGTGCTTATCAGTGTTTGTGTACTTTGTTAGGCCTTGTGCCCACGTTTCTTCACTTGCTGTAAACTTTGTTTGTACTGTGATTTATATATATACGTGCATGCTTGCTGTGCTAGGTAGAGATCAGTGTGCTGTTGTTGTTGCATATATACCACTGCATGTGAAATGGCCTTGTGGCTGTTTGCTTGTACTCAGTTTGTATGGTGACGTTGTGATCCACTATGAGCTTGTTTTCTTTCTCTTGACTGGTCTTGTGACCCATTGCTCTCCTCGACTTTGCCTAAGGGGGTGTGTCCAATTATATGTATGATACATTTGGTTCGGTTGTAATGTGGTAGCCAATGTGGGGTACAGCCCAATTTAGGGTTTCATACTTGTATCCAATTCTTTCAAAGTGCATTCATTCCTGCCTAGACTTCTGGCAGGGTACAGGCATGTTGGCCAGGGGGGTTATGGGCGCACTTACCTGTTATACAAACAACCTTTTTTATCCCTGTGGTCTAGTGGCTGGGATTCTGACATGGTATCAGAGCGAAGGTCTCAGGTTCGAATTCCGGTGTATGCACTTCGGGCATTCCAGTACGGGGGGGGTGTCAAAGGTCCATTGGTGATCTCCGATTGATTCAAGGGAAGGGTTATAGGCATGTTTGCCTGGGGGGTTATAGACGCACTTACTCGCTTCAGAAACAAGCCATTTTATCCCAGTGGTCTAGTGGCTGGGATTCTGACACACCCCTTCTGGTCTCATGCTCCTCTTTCCCACACGTCTCCCTCTACTCAAAGCTAAGAGGCAACAGAGAAGATTAAGAGGTGTGACTCACCGCCTCCTCCTCTTGCTCGCGTGTCATGATGGCCTCCATCTGCTCCTGTGTCACCACCTTGCCTAGCTGCCGTGGGGCGAGACCGTGAGAGGGAGAGGGTTTGAAAGAGAGCAACAGCCATAGATCGAGGGAAAGGAATGAAGTGCCGATGCGATCCCCATGTCCTACCGCGTCACCTTACTACCACCACCCCGCCTTGCTGCGGTGGGAAGATATGGCCAGGAGCGATATGGGAAGAAGAGAGGGAAATATGGAGAGCGACAGAGACAGGACAAGGAGAGGGCGAGGGAGAGAGACAAACCCGTGCGGAAAGAAGAGAGGAGGGAGAGAAGGTTGCTTTAACGCGGCGGTGAAGGAAAAGAAAGAACAGGCACAGGGCCCCCGCACCACACATTGTGCCTGCACAACACACTCTAGCTTGCACCGTAACTCTAAACCCATCTTTGGGACTTCTTTGTACCCTCAGCTGCACCTCACCTATCGCACGACGCTTAAGGGGTCCTCGCTGGGCTCGTTGAAGTTGAGGCCGCGGTTGTCCACCCCGTGGCTGGGCGCCTGCTCGTAGTTCACCGTGGGGTACATGGGGTCGCCGCCCCACACTGTAGGGGGGAAGGGAGGGGAGCACAGAGAGCATCAGCAGACGAGGTGGGCGTTGGGTAGTCCACCACAGGGGGGTGTTGGCTGCTCGCAGTTCACTATAAGGTAGACAGGCCATCACCCCATGCTGCACGCTTGGAGGGTGGGGAGGTGTGGTGACAAGGTGGGCTGCGGCACCACACAAGACTGGAAGAAGAGGAAGGAATGGAAAGGGCGGATGACAGTGGATGGTGGTACCACCCATCACCTCACTGGTACCACCCATCACCCTGCTGGTACCACCCATCACCTCGCTGGTACCACCCATCACCTCGCTGGTACCACCCATCACCTTGCTGATACCACCCATCACCTCGCTAGTACCACCCATCACCTTACTGTTACCAGCCCTCTACTCGCTGCACTGCTCACCGCGCTTGCACTGCTTCTTGTCCATGCGGATGGCCAGAGGGTCCTTGTGCAGTCGCACGTCCCGCCCACACATGACGTTGTACTCACGCTGGGTCTGGGGGGGGGGGGGGGGGGGGGGGGGGGGGGGGAGGGGGCGAGTGGAAGGGAGAGGAGAGCGGTAGAAAGTAAAAGAATGGTGGGTGGGTGGCGAATCAGCCGCACGTCCCGCCCGCACATGGCGTTGTACTTGCGCTGGGTCTGGGGGGGGGGGGGGAGAGGGGAAACAGCAGCAGCGAGGAGGAGAGAGAGCGGTGACGAGAGGAGGAGAAGGATGGATGGGTGGCGAATCAGCCTGACGTCCCTCCCACCCACACATGGCGTTGTACTTTTGCTGGGTCTGTTAAAGAGGAGGGGTTGGGTGCGGGGTAGGACGAAAACGAATGGTGGGTGGGTGGTGATTCGATTCAGCCATACTCAAGCTAGGTCTTGCGTGGGGGAGGGAGGGGGAGAGGAGACGAGAGGGCGATGAGGAGAGATGATGCAAAACGAATGGTGGAGAAAAGGAAAATGGTGGGCGGTGAGGCACATGAGTCGTGGCTCCAAACCCCACCCCCACCCCCACCGACCTGCATGGCGAGCATGTCAAGGACCTGGTGCTCCATGGGCCGCCCTGTCTCCCTTACCACTCCCTGACAGCCCCACGCATATCATCTGCACGGCCCCACCCCACCCCACCCCACTCCACCCCACCCCACCCCACCCCATCCCCACCCACCTGCATCGCAAGCATGTCCAGGATCTGGTGCTCCATGGGCCGCCCTATCTCCCACGCACCCGCCTGACGGCCCCACACATGTCACCTACATGGCCCCACCCCACCCCACCCCACCGCACTGTATCGCATCGCACCTGCATGACAAGCACGGCCTTGAGTGACGTGTCATGAGGCCATGCCGCCACCCACTCCTAGTAGTACGCCAGGTCGCCCAGGCGCCCCCTCAGCTCCTCTTCCTTTACTAGTCTAGTGGGAGCATGGATGGGTGGGGCCACAAGGGGGGAAGACACACGAGAGGGGGGAGCACACGAGAAGGTGGGCACACCAAAAGGGGTGTCGTGCAGCCAGGCCAGGTCGCGCAAGCGCTCCCTCAGCTCCTCCTCCTTCGCTAGCCTGGGAAGAGTGTACACACAATGGGGGGGAACGCACAAGCGGCCGCATGGGGGGCACATGGGGAGCACATGGGGAGCACATGGAGACCACATAGGAAGGGGGCAGGTCGCCTCACACGGCCTCACCTCTCGTCTGCCAGTGCCCCACCTTATCAATCTTCTACCTGATAATCCATCCAACGTCACCTCCCCCGACCAACTCCCCCTCACTATCTTCCCGCCCTCACTGTGCCCACCTCTCTCTTCACCCGATTATCCCTCCACCCTCCCCCCTTACCCCCCATAGTGCACGCACCTCTCATCCGCCAGCGCCTTGCAGCACACCCTGGCGACGAGGCCTCTGCCGCGGTGGGCTTGTCGCCGTGCAGCCTTGTGTGCCCCGCCCGCCTCTCTCTTGTACCCCATCCTTCCCCCGTCCCCTCACTCACACACTGCCCTCACCTCCACCTTCGCACTGTTCTCACCGCTCATCTGCAAGTGGCTTGCGGCGCACCCTAGCAAGCACCGCTTTTGCCGTGGTGGGCTTATCGCCGTGCAGCCTTATGTGCCCCGCCTCCGCTGCTGCTAGCGCCATCGCCTGCCCCATGGGGGTGTGGGCGGAGATGAAGAGGGGGGCAGAGAGAGTGGCTTGAGCACATGCTGCTGCTGGTAGCAACGGGGCACACCACAGGGACATCGCCGTGCAGCCTCATGTGCCTCGCCTCCGCTGCTGCATGCACCAGCACCCCACCACTGCACCACCCCACTTGCAACGGCGCCATGCCATGGATTGCACACTCATTTCTTCAGACACGCCCCACTTACGACGGCGCCTGACACCTCAAAGAAAAGAAGACCCACCACCACACCGCACTGCACTGAACTGAACCGCACGCATCACACTGCACCGTATGGTGATGACAGCCTGTTCATTCCCATCATGCCTACAGCACCCACCCATGACAACCTACACACCCCATCATGCCATCCCATCCAATCCCATCCAATCCCGTCCCATCCCATCCCACCGCAGCGCACCGCATCAGTGGTGACGGCCTCCTTATACCAGGCGGTCCAGATCCACTGCTCGCCGTCGTTCGTCACAAACACAGATACCTCACGAGATACCCCTCACAGTAGAACACACCACACCACCACACCGCACTGCACCGCACCCCATCCCACCCCTCCGCACCACATCGGTGGCAGCAGCCTCCTTCTGCCAGGCGGTCCAGATCTGCTGCTCGCCTTCGTTCTTCTGCTAGTTCCACCACACCTCCTCATCCCCCACCACCTCCAACGGCACCACCTCCCCCACAAACGCCTCCCCCCGTGCCCACGCGCCCACGTTCTGCAAAGCCCCCTTCCCCTCCCCACCTCCCTGCCCTTCCACGGCCAACTGCTTCCCACCTGCTGCTGCTACGGCACCAGCAGCAGCAGCGGCGTCTCTCTCGCGGTCCTCCAGCGCCCACGCGGCTCGCATGCGCGCCCACCCGCTCAGCCCCCTCATTGTCGCAGTCTTGCCTCCCACGCCTCGTCCTCCTCCTCCTTCCAAAATCGCTCGACCCCCCCACTGCGCGCCAAGTCCCCTTCCCCAGAGTCCTCGTCCTCCCCCTCCTCTTTTCCCTCGTCTTCCTCCCCCGCTTCGTCCGCTCCCCTCATACTTCCTCATCCTCCTCCCCCCCGCTCCCCTCTCCACCATCCCTCATCCTCACAGGCACGTACTCGCATCCACATCCTCGCAGGAGTTCTAGGGCTGAATTGCTTGGCTGGTTCGGGTGCTATCGCTATGGGATAATGAGTTGAGGTATCGCATCATAATAATGTGAAAGGAAGATAAAAATGAGCATTCTTGTTATGAATGAACTTGCAGAGTGCGCAGTAAAACGAATAGCGAGAATGGTTCAATAGTGAATGACAATACAATGAGAATGGCATGAATAAATAAGGGAAAATCTAGCTAGGCGGGGGGTTCGCGATGGGATGGCTCGGTGATGGTTACGATCAGAGCCTCAGATTCACTTTTAGGGTCGTCGACCCATCAGGGTACCCCTGTCTAAAAACTAAAGAAAAACGAGAATGATTGAACTATGAAAGAGTTGGGTACAAGTATTAACCCTAATTGAGTTGTACCCCTTATGGTATACCCCACTACAGCCTACACAAATGTAAAAGCTACAACATTCTGACACACCCCCATAGGCAAAGTGGGGGAGAACAAGGGGTCACAAGACCAGTCAAGCAAAGCAAAGCAAGCTCAGGGTGGATCACAAAGTCACCACACAGTCCGAGCACAAGAGTAAGGCCACAAGGCCAGTTCACATGCAAGATCATATATATAAAGGTAAAAAAGCAAGTGCAGGTATAGAAAACGTACAGTACAAACAAGATCAAGAAGTGAGCAAGTGAGGCCAGGTAGGCACAAGACCAAGCAAAGTACAGAAGCGCTGATGATCACAAGGCGGAAGGGCCTTGATGAAGATATCAGCAGTGTTGGCCTCACAGGCCACGTAGGTGAGGCGGAGCTGACCACGCTGCTGCAGCTCACAAGCCAGGAAGTAGCGGAGAGCAATGTGCTTCGTTCTGTGCTCCAGTCTGTGCTCCCAACACAAGGCCAGCATGGCCTTGTTTTCTATGTACAGAACTAGAGGAGAACGAGGCTGCTCTCCTAGGTCAGTCAGCAGGTAGATAAGCCAGCGTAGCTCCTGTGCAGCCATAGCCCCTGCGTAGATCTCAGCCTCACAGCTGGAGCTGAGAACAGAAGACGAGCGGGAAGACCGCCGCGAAACAGAGCCGGAGCCAAGGCTGAAGGTGTAACCTTGTGACGACTGCTGCAGAGCCTGGTCGTCAGCCCAAGAAGCGTCTGCGTGACCTGTGAGCACCACTCGACGTCGCCTTCCAAGCACTAGCCCCATGCCCGATGTACTGCACACGTAGCGCAACACCCTCTTCGCTGCAGCCATGTGCTCTTGTCGGTGTCTCCCGGGAGCAACATAGCGTGCCAAGATGCTAAGAGGATATGCAAGGTCAGGTCGTGTGCAGGTCATCAGGTACATGAGGCAGCCAACAAGCTCTGGGTACGGGCCACTCGGCTCTACGGACTCATCCGAAGGCAGAGCTGAGAGCGAGTGGCGAGTAGACAGAGGAGTGGCCTGAGGCGAGGAGTACGTGAAGCCGAAGCGCTGAAGGACCTGCTGCACCATGTGTGACTGAGTCAGGGTAATGGTGTGCTGTGCTCTGTCCTGGGTGATATGCAAGCCAAGGTAGTTGCGAAGTTCACCCAGGTCTGTGCACGTGTGTCTCTTCTGCAGCTCGAACTTCACGTGGGCGAGTCCAGCAGTATCAGCAGTGACAAAGACCAAGTCATCAACGTACACGAGGATGTAGAATGGCGGCAGAGAGGTGTCGGTGCGCAGAAACAGCGACGCGTCAGCTGTAGAAGGAGCAAACCCAAGAGCTGCAAGTGTAGTCCTCAGTGTGTTGTGCCACTCACGGGGCGCCTGGCGGAGACCGTAGACTGGCCGCCAGAGGATCCACTGGGTACCAGGAGGAAACGACACAGTAAAGCCAGGAGGGCGGCGCAGCCAGATCTCCTCGTGCAGGCTGCCCTGCGGGAAAGCTGTGCTGTAGTCAAGAGAGTGAAGCTCATAGTCGCGCTGAGAGGCTATGTGCAGCAACACCCGAAGAGTGGTCATCTTCGGTGTGGGAGAGAAGGTCTGATAGTAGTCAACTCCCTGCCGCTGATTGAAGCCTCGAACGCCGTAACGCGCCTTGAAGACAGGCGGAGAACCCGGAGGCCGCTTCACCCTGAAAATCCACGTGCCACTGACGATGTTCGCCCCAAGTGGGGAAACCTCGTCGACGTAGGTGCTTATGGAATTCTTGGAAGCCATCTGTGCGTCCATGGCTGACTGCCACTGAGAGGAGTAGGGACCCTCGATCGCCTCAGCGTACGATCTAGGAGTCGGGATGTCGGGTGCATCCGGGTCTCCCTGAGGGGCAATCAGCGTGGACACGAGATGGGGCAAAGCACCAGCAAAGCACTGGAACTCCTCCTGCTTGTCCTCAAGGACGTCCGTGCTAAGAGCACACTCACCCCCGACGGACAGAGGACTGACAAACTCAGACTCAGCAACGAGACTGGCAGCGTTGTCTAGACGACTGTGAGCAGCGAAGTCAACAGGCTCAGCAACCAGGGCACACACAGCAGTGGAGTGAAAGGAAGAGTCAGTGACAACAGTAGCAAGAAGGCGCGCGGCCGAAGGACTAGCAGCACGAAGGGAGTCAGACTCTGGTTCAGCAAGAACAGGAAGAGAGGACTCTGGAGGTTACGACAACGGGATACGCAGAGTAGCAGTGGAAGGACGCAGTGCCATCTGGTGTGTGCCGGGGACCGCAAGAGGACGCGGGCGCGTAGTGCGACAACTAGTGTGAGTAGCACGAAAAGGCGACGCAAGACGAGACGCAAGCTCAGGACGCTCAGCAAGACCTCCAGTAGGACCAGTGTAGGGAGAAGGAGAAGGTAGAGGGGAGGCTGGCTCTAACTGTGACTGCGACTGGACAGGTTGTGGACACTCTAAGGGAGGAGCAGGACCAGGAGAGGGCGGGAGACCAAGAGCCTGCTCCAGGAGCGGAACGAAGTACGGCCTCGGCCGCTCAGCGCCTCCGGAACCAGCAAGGACGGCACTAGTGCCCCTAGCGGCAGCACCAGCGCCAAAAGTACCTCCTGCTCCACCAGCGCCAACTCCAGCACCCTCAGAAGCACCAACGCCAACAAGATCACCAGCGCCAACACCCCCAGCAGCTCCAGCTCCAGCAGCACCAACTCCTGCAGGAATGTCAGCTCTAGCAGCCTCAGAAGCACCCCCAGACGCACCAGCACCAGTAGGAACACCAGCGCCAACACCTCTAGCAGCTCTAGCTCCAGTAGCACCAATACCGCCAGCAGCTCCAGCAGGACCAACTCCAGCAGCCCTAGCACCATCCCCAGTCTCAGCAGCACGTCTCCAGCGGCGGGCAAACCACTCACGCAGCTCCTGTGGACAGAGCGGCTCCCGCCTCAACGAAGCACCGCCGGCGGCCACACGAGCAGACCCAGCGCCCCCAGGCTGAGCACCCCCAGGCTCCGCACCCCTAGGCTCCGCACCCCCAAGCTCCGCACCCCCAGTCTCAGCACCCCCTTACTCAGCACCCCTAGACTCAGCACCCCCTGTCTCAGCACCCCTAGACCCGGCACCCGCAGGCTCAGCACCTCTAGCAGCACCAGAGTCAACAGCTACCTCGATAGGCTCGAATGCGTCTACCTGGGACACACCTGACGGGGCACGACCCTGAGGGGGGAGGCGGTCTACCTGGGGAGGACCTGGTGCAAGGAAGAGCGGCGGCGGGGGGAGAGGCGAAGTGCGGTAGGTGAAGAGACGGTAGTAAGGTACCGACTCGTCAAAGGTGACGTCTTGGGAGGACAGAACACCACGCGAGGTGGGGTGGTAAAACTGCCAGCCATGCGCGTAAGGGGGGAAGCCAAGGAAGACGCAGGGAACCGCACGGGGGGACAGCTTATCCGCAGACAAGTCGCGGACAAACGCCTGAGATCCCTAGACCCAAAACGCAGACGCATCGCCAACCTTCCCGGTCCACCGCAAGGCGGGGGACGTCTCTGGCAAGGAGATCCGGGGCTGAAGCTTGAGCTGATGCGCGGCGTACCGAACCGCAAACGGCCACAGAAAATGGGTGGCAGCCGCATGCATCATGGACGTACGAGCGACGTCCATGACCATGCCAATGCGGCGCTCAGCAATCCCATTTTGCTGTGGAGAGGCCGGAAGCATGAAGGTCTGGCGGATGCCCTGTGCACGACACAAGGCTCCCAGACGGGCAGAGAAAAACTCTCCGCCTCTGTCTGAGGGCACACGTTGAACAGGAAAGTCCGAGACAAAACTCAATTTTAGCTGGAGACGAGCTGCGCGGATCCAGTTGATCAACACCTCAGTGAGGTCACCCTTGCTGCGCAAGGGGAAGACTGTGGTGTAACGCGAGTAGTTGTCAACCACCAGCAGGAAGTACCGCTCGCGCCCCTGCCCACTGACGCGGTCTGGGCCCCACACGTCCATGTGGAGAGTCTGCAGCGGAGCCTGTGTCGGAGGAAACTCGGAGGAGTGAGGGGCGGCGCGCTGTTGCCCCTCGACGCAGGGGACGCAGGTAGGGCCAGGCCCCGGAGGAAGGGGAGGGAGAGACCGAGGGTGACCAGAGACAAGGACACGGGAGGCCATGCCTCGGAGACGAGGCAAGGAGGGGTGACCAAGGCGGTGGTGCCAAAGGAGAGTCTAGTGGGACAGCAGATGACACGAGCAGGGAGCAGACTCAGGACCAGACCTGGACGCTGCAGCAAACTCCTGACTGGACGCTGCTACCTGGGCAGACTCAGCAGCAGGAGGAGACTCAGTAGTAGGAGTGTACAGGGTCGACCTTCTCCGATGGGTGAACGTGGCCAAGTGTCGGCCTGTCCGAGCA